CAGCCACCTTGCCCAGCTAATTTTTTTGTATTTTTAGTAAAGACAGGGTTTCACCACTTTGGCTAGGAACTTCTGATGTCAGGTGATCCACCCGCCTCAGCCTCCCAAAGTGCCCCCAATTTCCTTTCATTCATTTAGAGAACTCCTCTATTGCTTGCATGGTTTCCTGGTAAAATGATCAGTCCTGCCCCCCTCCAGGACCCTCCCAAGGAGCTGGCTCAGGGCTGGGTAAACTGGGTCAAGCCAGGATTTCATGGCTACCACTATTTCACAATAGTTCACAAGCTGGAGGCTGTAGCCTGGGGCTGTTGGCTGTCATCTTCCTTGTCTTGAGGGTGTGCCTGCTATAAAATACAGCTGAAGGGTGGCAGAATACTCTATGCCAAAATATGCCAGCATGATGTAAGGATTACCTCAAGCTAAAGGCACTTGAAAAACAGCAGATGCAAGAAGGGCATTCTAATCTCCTCTTTGCTTCTTGCAAACAGGAGAAAGAAACTCCCATGTGAACATGCCCTCCCTGTACCAGGAAAAAAGGTAACATTCTTCACAGCTCAGAGAATCCTGTACAAACATATTTCATGAAACTAATTCTTATCGTCCTTTAACAAACTCCCTACATAATTTACTTTTCCACGATAGCCTCTCTTTGTTCAACCTAACACAAAAGCATGTTGGTTTTGTCACTTCTTTGGGTCTTCATTTCCTTCCCAGGGCTCCTGAGTCACATAAAACTTACATTAAATTTATATGCTTTTCTTCTGTTAACCTGCTTTATGTCAATTCATTCTCAGGCCCAGCCAGGACACTAAGAGAAGAGAGTTTTGACTTTTCTACACAGCCAAGACCTGTGGGAATCGGAGCCTGGCACTGACAGAATAGCAGAGCAGTTTATGATGTTTTTTGTGATATTGGCTCACTGCAACCTCGACGACCTCTTGGGCTCAAACAATCCTCCCATCTCAGCCTCCCTACTATGCCCGGCTAATTTTTGTATTTTTTGTAGAGACAGTGTCTCTGTATGTTGCCCAGGCTGGTACTGAACTCCTGATCTCAAGCAATCTGTCCACCTAGGCCTCCCAAAGTGCTGGGACTATAGGTGTGAGCCACCAAGCCTGATCTATTTCTTTTTTTCGGGAATTCCTACTCTGTTCTCAGTCCTTGAATTCCCAGCACAAGACTCCACCCCAGGTCTCAGTGATCAGTCCCACTCAGAACTGTACCCCTTACTTACAGACTGACCCATATTCCTTAACAGATCACATGGCATAGCTTTCCTCCCTGCCTGGGTCCTAAACAGCTTGCTAGCATGTCATGTTATGTCTTTTTCTGCCTCCCACCTTTCACAGCACCCACAGGCCTGGCATGTAATAGAATACCAGATAAGACTTGGCAAATTTGATTGATTCTTTTCTTATGATAGAAACTATAATACAGCGAGGATGTTTTTCTTTCTTTCTTTTTTTTTTTTGAGATGGTGTCTTACTCTGTCACCAGGTTGGAGTGCTGTGGCCCAATCTTGGCTCACTGCAACCTCCACCTCCCGGGTTTTCAAGCAATTCTCCTGCCTTAGCCTCCAGAGTAGCTGGGATTGCAGGCACGTGCTGCCACATTTTTAGTAGAGACGGGGTTTCACCATGTTGGCCAGGATGATCTCAATCTCCTGACCTTGTGATCCACCTGCCTCGGACTCCCAAAGTGCTGGTATTACAGGTGTGAGCCACTGCGCCCGGCCGAGAATGTTTCTAATACATGATTACATGGGCAGCTACTCGAGGAACAACATTTACTGCACATAACTTACATTATCTCATTTAATCTGTACATGCAATTTATGAGGTAGATACTCAAGTTTATGACCTTGGAATGTTGAACTGAGTTGTAAACTGAAATGAAAACAAGTACCTCTGATTCCAAATTCTGTGTGAGAAAACGACTGCCCATGGGCAGGCCTGGTGGCTCTCGCCTGTAGTCCCAGCACTCTGGGAGGCCGGGACGGGCGGATCACCTGACCTCAGGAGTTCGAGACCAACCTGGCCAACATGGTGAAAACCCATCCTACTAAAAATATAAAAATTAGCTGGGCGTGGGCAGGTCCCTGTAATCCCAGCTACTCAGGAGACTGAGGCAGGAGAATCGCTTAAACCCAAGGAGGCGGAGGTTGTAATGAGCTAAGATAGTGGCATTGCACTCCAGCCTGGGCGACAGAGCAAGACTCCATCGCAAAAAAAGAAAGAAAAAAATGACTGCCCAAAAAGGCTCCTCTTCACCCCCTCCCACCAGCTAATAAGCAAACTTGTACCATATCATTATGTCCATAATCTCAGTGGTAAAGGGCATTCAAGGACAAAGGCTTACATGCTAAATAAACTGCAACAAATTCTCCACTTGAGTTTTGTCAAACCCATTTCCCCAGCAGCAAGATACGTGATTCAGCGTAGGAAAAACTAACCACTGGTGCGAACACACATTTGCTTAGAGAGCCTTAGGCCAATCTTAATTACCCTGCCTATAAAGGAGAGGCCTCCACTGAGAGGTGGGAGGAGGGAAAACAAACTAGTTGTTGGACTGGAACCTTCCAGAACCACAGCTGTAGCCCTTAACAGGACAGCTGACCTGTGCCTTTCATTTGCTTTGACTTCATGTATGAGTTTAATTCCAAAGTTGCCAATAACAGGAAATGAACCACAGCGTTAGCCAGTTAACATCAAAGGTAGAAGGAGACCAGCAGGCAGACTGTTAAAAGAATTAAAAGAGTAAACATTCTGGTGAGTCATGGGCTTTCTGTACTCACTAGAACCACTAGAAGGAAAACTGCGTGGGAACCTACAAGTGGATATTCCAAGTAAGAGCCTACCTGGAGCTCTTTGAAACATGTCAAGTTCTGGCCGAGTGCAGTGGCTTGCGCCTGTCATCGCAGCATTTTGCAAGGTCGAGGCAGGAAGACTGCTTGAAGCCAGGAGCTCGAGACCAGCCTGACCAATATGGTGAAACCCCGCCTCTACTAAAAATACAAAAATTAGCTGAGCCTGGCAGCGCATTTGCAAACCCAGGTATTCAGAGGCTGAGACAGGGGAATCACTTGAACCTGGGAGGTGGGGGTTGCAGTGAGCCGACATCACACCACTGCACTCCAGCCTGAGTGACAGAGACTCCATCTCAAAACACAAAACAAAACAAAAAAAGAGATTGAACCCTTTGTGTGTGTGTGTGTGGCGGGGGGGTGTATTTTAACAATCAATGTAATTTGGCATAAAAGTATAGCACAGCAGAACTCAATCAAGATTTTCCTTCAGCCCGGTGCAGTGGCTCACGCTGTAATCACAGCACTGTGGGAGGCCAAGGTGGGTGGATCATGAGGTCAGGAGATCAAGACCAGTCTGGCCAACATGGTGAAACCCCCATCTCTACTAAAAATACAAAAAATTAGCCGGGCATGGTGGTGCGCACCTGTAATCCCAGCTCCTCTGGAGGCTGAGGCAGGAGAATCGCTTGAGCCTGGGAGGCAGAGGCTATGGTGAGCGGAGATTACGCCATTGCACTCCAGCCTGGGCGA